GAGTAAAGCTCGAATAACATCTAGGTTAACGAAAGTAATGCCAGCACTAGATTCGCGTTTTTTCTGACAGGATTCGCCTGTGCATCGTCTAGAAATGCTTGTGCAAGGTGCAGAATTTAATTCTCTATCGAATGGTATAATTTTCAACTAGAGTCATCGAGCAAAAAAAGGGCACTTATGCCAGAAATACGACCTAAATTTCATATTTGCGTCAGTATTTCCTGGCAGGATTCGCCTGTGCATCTGTGCATATTCTAGAAATGCTTGTGCAAGATGCAGAATTTATTTCTCTATCGAATAGCATAATTTTCAACTAGGGTCATCGAGCAAAAAACAGGGGTCTCCAGAAGGAATACTGATTTTGTGCCTAAGAACATGGAGGAAAAAGTTGTATTTCCTGGCGAAATTAGCCTGTGCATCTGTGCATCTTCTAGAAATGGTTGTACAAGATGCAGAATTTAATTCTCTATCGAATAGGATACTTTTCAACTAGGGTCATCGAGCAAAAAACAGGGGTCTCCAGAAGGAATACTGATTTTGTGTCTATGAACAGGGAGCAAAAAGTTGTATTTTCTGGCAGGATTCGCCTGTCGACCTGTGTATCTTCTAGAAATGGTTGTGCTAGATGCAGAAATGATTTCGCTCTCGAGTGATGTGCTTGTAGAAGAGATGGCTGACTTGTGGAAAGAGACATTGGCTGAAAATCTCGCTTGAGCGTCAGTTTTTAATTGTAAGTGTTGTTCGAAGAAAATTGCGTCTAAGGTATTAGCATGTATGTTCTCAAACTCCGATGTATCTTAGGTCAGACAGAAATACATGGATGCCCGGTATTTGGTTCTGTTTAATGGTGAATGATTTTTTGAGAAAGATTACGAGGGAATTTGGTGGGTGATTGAAGATTTGCGTGATAAGTATTGTTTGTGGTTGCCGTAGATGGCGTGATTTGGTTGTTTAATTATGTGGCAGTTATGTAGAAAGTGGTTCAAATATGGTTTATGATGTGAACATTGTCTTTTATGCCTGAGAGAGGTTTGTCTGTTCGACTGCCGAAAGTATTTTATTGTATGACATTTGATGTGTTAGAAAAACAATGTGGTTCTATATCATAGTTGGTTAGTTGTTCGTGATTGTAAACGATTGATTTCTTTTTCTAGTTGTCCTTTTCGTCGGTTTCAAATCTGAAAGCTATAGAAAGGAAATTAAATTGGTGGATGTCTGTTTCATGTTTACTTACGGAAGAGTCGCTTTCATCCAATACTGGTTCTGGTTTACGATGAATATCTTGGGCTGTTTGATGTCGTAGTAGTTGAAGTTGATCGGCAAGTATTGGAATTTGTTTGTTTTTATGATCATACATTTGTGCTCGGTATATAATGTGTATCTCACGAGAATATGCATGGGTTTGAAGCAAGCGAAGTTGTTCACCCGGTATGCACAGTTTCCAATTGCTGTGGAAGTCGATGGCATTTCGAGTCTTAGATAATTTTGTACATTTAATATGTGTATTATACGTTGTAATTTTGTTTATCGAGATAATGGATTTGTTGGTAGTGAATCTATTTGTATTAATAGTTTTTTTCAAGATCGATAATTACTAAATACCAATGTTTATTTTGATTTATTGGACACAGAATAACATCATAGTCGAAGCAACGGCTGGGCATATGTTTTAATCGTTTTTCAATAATTTCTGGTACAATATAGTTTGGAAGAGATAATCAGTAGTGTCAAACTTGAAACTTGAATTCAATTGAACTTTCAACTTTCAAGAAACTCCTTTCATGGCAGCCTTAGTTGGTGCGTTGATGTGTGTGTGAAATGATATTAAAGTTCTGATCCCTGGAACTCCTTTCCTGGCTTGAAAGTTGAAAGCTGAAACTTGAAATTTAAATTGAATTCAAGTGTCAAGTTTAACATATATGGAGATAATACACGTTTTTTTATGTACAGCCGCCGAAGCGGTAATAAAAAGAGGAGCATAAATTATTGGATCATGTAGGTAACCTTGAAAGTCTAGTAGAAGTTTGATGTCATTTTGTTTTAATTCTATTTGACCGATAATAAAATGAGTACTTAAACGTGGTAGCATACCTTTAACTGTTTCGATTCTCCTTGCCTTCGGTGCTTCAGGTTCTGTTAAACCAGTTTGCTTGAACAATATTTTTTCGAGTATTGGATACTCGAAGACATCTTGCTCTGTTTCAAAAACGAAGATTGTCCATCTTGATGCAAGTTCCATATGTTGTATTGAAAAATCATTTATTAATTCGAAGTGACCATTGTGTTTTTTGTAAGTTGAATAGCCGCTGCCGGTTTTTCATAGGTAAACAATATCATCTTCCTCCAGTACAATAAGAACTGTTTGTATTGTATATTCGAATGAAGGATGTACCGAAGAAGGTCAACTAAAATAAGTTTCAATTTCGTGAATTAAATTAATAAAATTTGGATTTGTACTGGGTGTTTGTAATAAAAGAAATCGTGGTAAATCACATAAAACATAATTTGTTAGTCCTGGTATTTGACAAGAAAAACATTTAATCTCTTCGAACATAAAGTTGTGTATTGCTGCATTAATGCTGCTGGTATCATTTGCCATTTTTCATATTGCATGCATTCGTTCGACAGTATATGTTTCTAAAGCAAGAAAATTAAAAGTAAATCATTAATTTAAAATGTCATTCAATTCAATTTTCAATCAAGAAATGGTCTTATGTTGTGTATTCTTAAAAACTTCACTATTCAAATGAATTAAACTATATTGGTTTATAGAAAAAAATCAACCGTCATGGTATGTCACATCGGATTTTGCTCTTATTTTCATTTAAAGATAATAGAAAATAGGTTTTGGGAAAAAAACGCAAACTATTTGAACTTACCTCTGTTACAAATTTAACATTGGTAAAATTTAATAACAAAAAAATGAAGTGGATTATCATCGATGAGAAAATGTTTCGCAAAATAATTTACGGCATCGTTCAAAGATAAATTTGACGGTAATGTTAAATATATTGGTGAATAATCTGTAAAAACATTTCATAATGCTAATGAAAACACATCGATGTTGGATGAACGTGTAAAGTGAGCTATTACAATTGGTTGATTTTCAGCTTGATCTCCAAAAAGACTTGACGATCTAACAATTGTTTTATCCATATCATCGAGACATTACCAGTCTTCTTTATGACGAGCGTATGTTATATAATGTCCATCATCATCGACACCATGAAGTACCATCAACGATTGCAATGTATATAGAGAATATGAACGAGTACAAATAATGTCGTAAGCAATAATTTTTGAAATATCTATATGTGTTATTAATTTAGGGGTTTGTTTCTCTGCTGCAACTATTGGTTCAAAAAGAACGAACAGATCCTTCGGACAATTCGTGATGGATAATGAACAAGGATGAAGACCACCACGAAAACATGTAGTACATTTTTTTTCTGTTCTTGAACCAAATAATTATGTTATAACATTTTCCAGTGTCTACGACAGGTACTTGACTGACATGTAAAATGTTCCACGTATCGCGAGCCACACTAATCACTTCGTTACATGATAAATAGTGAATAGATGTATGAGAAATAAATTGGGAGTTAATATTGTAGAATAATAGTGTAGGTACAATAGCCGATTGAAAGAAGTCGTAGATACAAAAATACTTACCAGCACAAACATCAATGCCAGCCGAACGAAGATAACCTGTGTTCTCTAATTAGATCACGACTAACAGTTGTTCTTATTATTTCATTGGAACATTTGCTTTTGTTTACCAAACAGTTTAATAACTTGTCTATCACAATAACTATTGATGGCGCAAAATCAGCTTATACAGGACCAAATCGACGAACTGTTTCAACTCTATGACCAGATGCCAATAACATTTGCAGCATACTATTTTACCAATAGTTGTTATAGGCGTGTTCGAATTTTAAAAATTGTGGAAATTGGCAAGCATCTACAATAATTAATTATAAACATAGAAGAAATGAGCAGGACGTTTTTCTTTATCTATGAAACTATGTTTTCTTTTCAAACGTCAGACATTGTTGACAATTATGATGAATATAATAGCTCTATTTATGAGTCAATATTCATCTTAAATATAAGCTCAAAATCTCATCAATTTAGTTTTTCCTAAAAATTTCTATGTATTTCCAAGTATATTTACCGGAACTAGCATCGCCATTTTGCTCCAGCAAGCGTTTGTTCATCATGGCAACAAGATTCATCGGAGTTTTGTTTGATGTATAAACACCGGTACTATTTCATGCCTTCCTTCGTATCTCCCATTGTTCCTCAGCTAATTTTCCCTATGCCGCAGGCAACTGCCGATTTTTTGTTTTTTCCAGCAATATATAACCGTTAAATTGAATTTCTACCACCTCCATAGCTTCTCCTAATTTGTGAGCGACTTCATCAATTCTAGTGTAAAGTTTCCTCCCGCGAACAGCTTCTTTTAGTATCCACATTAGCAATTCAAACCCATTTATTGCTCAACCTAACCACAGGAACATAAATCTACCACAGGATCTAAAGAATATCATCATCTTTCAGCGAAATTACACACAAAATAATGCAACAAATGTAATAAATTCGAATATATAATCTTAGAATACAAACTAAGCATGCTGCCGAAAATGATGGCCTATTAAGCAAATTTTCCAATTCACCATAACCAACATAATTTCTTTCGCGGCGACAATAACACCGAGAGACCACATAGTTATAAATATTCAAAATCCGCACCTTCAAAGCGGCAAATCGAAGTTTCCCAAAAATTTCACAGACCCATGAATAACGCCGGAGTCTTGCCGGTGGATACCCCGATCTAGAAATCATTTCTGCACCAAGTGATATGTTACTCAATATCTGGCCCCACTGACGAAGAGAGAAAACACCTACGAACATTGCGAATTGATACCTGCGAAGCGAGTCCTCAAAATGTTTGCTATTTGCCTCTTTCCGAGAGCCACCAGAATGCTACATGTGGACGTAGCGGTGGAGAATTCAATTCTACACCACAACGTCCAGATTCGGTATTCCGGTCACACTCACAAAGAGAGACAAAATCGAAATTTTTAGAACTCCCATTCACAACGTGAATTTTCAATATTCGGAACTATTTGTTCTCTCTTCGCGAGTGTGGCCGGGAAATGAACTTTACATCATTTGATAGAGAATTCAATTCTACACCACAACGTCCAGATTCGGTATTCCGGTCACACTCACAAAGAGAGAGAAATTCGAAATTTTCAGAACTCTCATTCACAACGTGAATTTTCAATATTCGGAACCATTTGTTGTCTCTTGATGAGTGTGACCCGGAAACGAACTATACACCATTCGATAGAGAATTAAATTCTGGATCTTGCACAACCATTTCTAGAAGATGCACAGATGCACAGGCGAATCCTGCCAGGAAATACTGACACAAATATGAAATTTAGGTCGTATTTCTGGCATAAGTGCCCTTTTTTGCTCGATGACCCTACTTGAAAAGTATGGTATTCGATAGAGAATTAAATTCTGCATCTTGCACAACCATTTCTAGAAGATGCATAGATGCACAGGCGAATCCTGCCAGGAAATACAACTTTTTCCTCCCTGTTCATAGACACAAAATCAGTATTCCTTCTGGAGACCCCTGTTTTTTGCTCGATGACCCTAGTTGAAAATTATACCATTCGATAGAGAATTAAATTCTGGATCTTGCACAACCATTTCTAGAAGATGCACAGATGCACAGGCGAATCCTGCCAGAAAAAACGCGAATCTGGTGCTGGCATTACTTTCGTGTTAACTTCAACTAAACAGTTTCTGTTATAACTGTATAGAGAGCAATCTAAGAATCTCTATACATATGCTGATCCATGGTGAACATTTGTTTTCTAAAGAGTGAACTATACTCTTTTATTCTATGATAATAAGGTGGAGAGCATCAAATAGTCTTTTTTCCGAAATTATATTGATTGATTATATTTAGAGGAGAGAAAGAAAGAGAGAAATGATCAAAAGAAAGGAACGATGTAACTATCACATAATAAGCGAATACTTTTAATGAAAACGAATCGAATAGAAAGTGCAAAGAAAAAATTCAAAGACGACAAGCCGCTCTTAGTAACAAACGATATATGTTCATCCCTCTTCTTATTGGCTGGAGGCTTATAAGCGAATTCGGAATAACCCTCATTGGTGTAGATAAGAGTTTTCCAATGAAAATTCGTAATGACTTAAATATTATTCGAACTCATGATGGACACAATGACGTAAACATGTTATTACATATATTATTCTTTGGAAAGATAACTGACGAACAAAAAATTTGGACGAACTATTTCGACAGTTAAA